AAAAATTTGCACTGCACCTTTCAACCAGCCAAACATCCGGGAGGACGACCGGGTAGGCCAAATTTCAAAATCCAAATCCCGCCTGAGACAAGTTTTCAAAAGTAGTATAGAATTAATTTTTGAAAGTTATAACCAAACACCATACTCAAATATGGCTATGGAGTCATATTTAAAACTCCACACCAAGCACATCCTTAATTTTTTTTTAATGATTTTAAAACTATTTAATATACAGTACCATTACAATAATTTTTTATTTTATTTTGTATTGAAAGTAAAATTTTACGATCCTATATCCGATCCACAAGTCTCTCTAATAATCCTAGATATGATCCCGATTTAATAAATCAATTTTAAATTTTAGAATTTCAAAACTTGGATTCTATTGCAACAATTAATTTTGTGGTTCCATTGATAGATTACAAACAAACTTAAATAAAATTATTAGATACTCTGAATATTATATGATATTTTTATGGGGTGTATCTCCCAGGAGTATGGTGCAAGTTTTCTATTATTTGATACAAATCAGTGGGAGCTGAGTTTAATGTGCCGTACACAAATAGGAATCGCGTGTAAGTCAACTCGTAATGGCTTTACTCTCGGGATAAGATTGTCGAGAAGACAAGTGAAGTGGGCCAGCCGTGGCCGAGTAGAACTAGATTGAGGGCCGAATAGGCCGTAAATTCTACCGAATGATTGGGAATCTAGCTATTAGGGTAGGGTGTCAGTAATCATAAAATGGGCCCCAGAAGAATAATATAAAAGAGGAGAAGCATTAGTCAGAAAAGAGGTATGTAAGAAAAAGATAACTTGAGATATAAGAAAGACTTGAGTGAATAATAACTTACCCGTCAGAGTGTTAATTCCAGCTCCCCCGACCGGATTGTTCATTCTCATTTCAGGTACAAACTCAAGAATCGAGAGAGTCTGTTTGAACCAAAGGGTATTTTCAAACCACATCTCCACAAAATTGTTTGTGTTAGATTTATATTAAAAATATTTCACTTGTAATACAATTATTTTGGAACTATGTCATTAAAATACTATTTCCTCTATGATAAAATGAGACATTACTGATGGAGGTGATTAAAAAATTAGAAAAAAAATTACAAATTAGCGAAATAGTTTTAAAATAATTACACTACAAGTATTTTTTTTTTCTCAAAATAAAAATTGAGAGTTCAAAGGCAAAATTTATTTGGTTTATAATTTTCTCAAAATTGTTTTCAATCCACTTTTTTGTCTCTTCTCCCATCCCTCACATCCAACACATCAGTCAAATATTTTTCTTACACTGCTGGAAATTCCTCATTTAGTGGCATTTTTAGATGTAACAAAACGCCTCTAATTGTTTTTGTGACATTTAGTACCAAACATTAAAGACACAGTCGTTGCTGTAGCGTTAAAAATGTTGCTAAATGTGATGAATAACAGTAAAATGGCATCACGTCAATATTTAGCGACGTTTTAAAAACGTAGTGATAGCTTTTTTTTTTCTATTTTACATATATGACTGTTGGCACTATAGTGACATTTGAAAAAACGTCGTTATAGCCTCTTTTTTATATTTAAAAAAAAAATTGTGCTAATTCTGTTAGATTTAATTAAAAAAATACCTGCAATATGGATAAAGTTGAAAAATTGCAGTAATATGGATAAAACTTTGCTGCTATTTCAATATATTGACTAAATTTAGACAAACATTGCATGATTATTCTAAACTAAAATCTAGCAACAAACACAACCAACAAATAAAATAAAAAATATTTCATCTCACATATGTATTGCAAACCTGTCAGATAACACATTCAACAAGGCGGGCAGAAAAATATGTGGCTCTGTGTGAAAGAGTTTTGAAAATATATTTCTACCTTTTAATTTGCACATAATGTTGTTTGGTTACAATTTATATTGACTAAATTTAGACAAACATTGCATGATTATTCTAAACTAAAATCTAGCAACAAACACAACCAACAAATAAAATAAAAAATATTTCATCTCACATATGTATTGCAAACCTGTCAGATAACACATTCAACAAGGCGGGCAGAAAAATATGTGGCTGTGTGAAAGAGTTTTGAAAATATATTTCTACCTTTTAATTTGCACATAATGTTTGGTTACTGTTTTCAAAAATTAATTCTACATCCACTCTGAAAACTCTGTCGAAAGTGGAAAAATTTGAGCTAACCAATCATCCTCTCGGATGTCCGGCCGGTTGACCGACAGTGCAATTTATTATTTTTTATTTTTTTAATTAATTAATTAATTAATTTATTTTTTTACAATTGACACCTGTTATTTTTTATATTTTAAATAAAAAAATTCAGAATTTTTAAAATTTTTTTGAGTTTTAAATAAAATTTTGAGTTGTGTGTTTGGTTATGAATTGTAAATTTTGATATCAAATATTATATGTCACATCAAAATTTTTTTACTCAATCCAAACTTTTTTCAAAACTCATTCACTGAACAAATTTTTCACTCTCAAATCATAATTCCAAAACTCACAAACTCAAAATTCCAAAACTCACAAACTCAAAATACAACTTTTATTTTCAAATCATATTTAGAAAACTCTACCATAATTTCAACAGAACTTCCACATCTATTTTCTACAATCTTGGTTAAAATAGTAATAAGCAAATAAAAATTTCTAGACTACCCAGCCTTAACTTAGTTATGGACAGAGTTCAAGTGTCTTTTATTTTGAACATTTATAAATCAAGTGAAGAGTTCCAAAAACAACAGCCATAAAAAGATAAATAAAAAAAAATTAAAATTTAAAAAAAATAAAATAAACCTAGATTGTTTAGAAAGACCAAACTTTAGAGCACCACAAAACATCCATGCAAATAATGCCCATCCGCACTTACAGAAATGATAAATCAGGCACATGAACTATTATTAACGGGCTCATGTATTTGTTCACAGCTATTGGAGAGATATTTAACTTCATCTAGAGATGTTTCTATCGAAAAATGCAAACAATAAGGGTACCCTTTTGTCATGCAAATTTCCTTCGATAAGTTTATCGCCTAAAATTTGGAACTGGTCTCCCAAGTTTTTTAGATCACTGATCAAAGAAGTACACAAAACCAAACAGTAAATCTGTGAATGAGCATGTAAATTAACAGCACGACTAGTAATCATTCTCTGGATTCATCAATTGCATCTTTGATTCCCCTGTTAGGGATATGCTGATTAAACACATGGTCAAGCAATGGATAATCACCACTCTCTCAAGAATGATGAACATGGACTTGATTTAAAAAACACACACCAACAAAGAAAAGCCCATTTGGACCCATGGACCACTCCCTGCCAGCTACATTAGATCCATGTGGCCTTACAGCCACACAACAAAGGGACCCCATCTTAGCTATGTTTTGTAAAACTCACCAAAACTTATTCCACTTGCCTCTACAAACTTCCTGCAGCTTGTCAACAGCCAACCAAAGAATTACTTAGTTCTCTCAAACAACAACATTCTGGTTCACAACATCTGCTTACACCACATCACTAATTAAATTCACCACATATACCACCTAAGCAAGAATTTGGTAATCAATAAAACCAAGCTTCATCATTTTTGAATTCTAGATAATGGGCTAATGATGAAACTTTTATATTACGGCAAAAGACAGCACAACCTCAAACAGACACCTCCCCGTTCTAATGCAGTAAACTATTACTTGTGAACCTCACCAGCAAACAGGATACAAAATCTTCCAAAAAGCTGATTATTTTCTAGGTATCAAAAAACCCTGTTTAAAACTCTCCAGCAGATACATCATTATCTTGAAGTCAGATCTGACCACATAACAGATAAACAGAAATAGGTTTCAACCCTTTCACCCACCCAAATTCCCAGAAAATATAAAAGAATTGAAACTTTCCACAAACATTAAAAGATCAAGGATTGATTGGACATGTAATCCAAGGAAAACCTGATTCAAATATTAAAAAAGAACTAATCTTAGAACGAAAAACTCAATAACCCAATAAACTAATCAGGAAAATTCAACAGAAAAAGCTTTACTTGAAACACTAAACTAAGCTAACAAAGAAAAATTCAAGTGAAGTTATATATTGCTGGTGAATATCATTAATCTTTTTTTATTTTAAATGGAGATAAATTTGGCTGCTCTGAAAATTTTTAAGTCATTAATGGTCTCTCCTAAATCTAGTTCAGTCTTAATGTTGCTTTGGATTCAATTGAGGAAACTGGATTGGTCCAGTGGGTGGATGAAGTAGGTTTATGCATATTCATGAGCTAAGAATTACTTCATGACAAGGATTATCATTGATATAAAAGGAAGGCCTATTTCCATAACTGATCTCTCAAACCAGTGGAAGTAGCATGAGTTAAAGGATGCAAATCATGCAGTTTGTTTGGTTGATAATTCCACTCAGCAATTTATAATGCTGATAAAAGTGATGTCCAAACACCATTTTATTTTATTTTTTTTATAATTTTAGGATACATAATGTTGAAACGTTGTTTCAACTTCCATTTGAGAAGAAATAAAAAATCCTAAAGCACAAAGGTTTATTCACAATTACATGAGACCATGATGTTACATTTGCAAATTCCTACTACTACTAATTCCTAACTAAAAACAGAAAATAAAAAACAGAGTGAGAGAGAGTGTGTGGTCTGCTTTGCATGCAAGAATAGAGTTTGAGCAATCTCTTCATGTTTTTGAAGAACCAAACTGTGTTTGTTGATTTCCAACTCTCTACCCATAAACTGTGTTTGTTGATTTCCAACTCTACCCATAAACTGCAATTCCTTCTTATCATAAATCTCAAAAGAAACTTGTGCTCAACAATCCAGATTTATATTATTTAATAATTTTTCTTAGTTTTCTCAACAACCAAACAAAGGACCGAAAGCACAATCCAGATCTGATAGTGCAGATCAACGCATCAGCGAAAACTTTACAATGCACATATCTCAAAATCAAGCAAAAAACTAAATTAAAACAATTAAAAAAAAAACAATTTCACATTGCTAACATATACAACTCATAAATCACTGAAATAGAGAATGGATGAAAATATTCTATTGAATCAAATACGTGATTTAACAACATATAGAAAACCAGAACTAACTCAAAATCCACTTTAGCAGCATATAAATTTAAATATATCAGTTGAAAATGTTTCCTTCATGTGGGCTGCTTGTGTCTCTAAGGTTCCTTCAATTGCTGCAAAAGAAGTAAGAGCGAAGAAACTCCTGTCAAGAACTCACCAATTTAAGGGCCAGCAACTAACACTGTTTCTGCCTTCTCTCAATGCCTTGATCTGCATAAACGAAAATCAACAACCGAATCAACCAAATCAACCAAATCGAGAGAGACGGTGGTGCTCACGTTAGTAGATAATGGTGCTCGCTCTCCTCGCCGGTGCAGACGATGGAGCTTCAAAATCGAGAGAATCACCGAAACATAAATTTCGAAATCAGGAACTTCGAAATCAAAATAGAAATCGAGAGAGAGAATCACTGAAACATAAACTTCGAAATCGAAAACTTCGAAATCAAAATCGAAATCGATCGTTGAGAGGGTTTACAGAGGGTTTAGCGAGAGAGAGCGAACGAGAGACTGAGTGAGTGAGAGAGTAGGGCTAAAAAAGTGTATTATAATAAATGGCTGTGTTGTACAGCTGTGGAACGTTTGTTTCAGGCTTATTTTGCACAGGTTTGTTTATGAGTTTTAAAACTTAATTTTGTGTTTAATTTTGAAAATTTTGTTCAAGGTGAAAAAATTTGGATTAATCAGTTGTTTCACCGGTCGATCGGAAAAATAATTTTTTTTTTAATAATTGATACACGTTAATTTTTATATATTCAATAAAAAATATTTTTTGAATTTTTAAAAAAAAATTATGAGTTTTAATAGAATTTTGAGTTGTATGTTTAGTTATGAGTTGTAAGTTTTTATATCAAATATCATATGTCACATAAAAAATTTATCACTCAATTCAAAACTCTTTTTAAAACTTATTCACCAAACAAATTTTCCACACTCAAATCATAATTCCAAAACTTACAAACTCAAAATACAACTCTTATTCTCAAATCATATTTAAAAAACTCTACTAAACGCTACATATATTTCTCAACATATTCACCAGTCTTCCCATTACAGAGAGAGGACATTTGGAGGCGTTTAAATACCACATATTAGTAAAATTAACGGTTGACACATGCCATACGTATGTAAATTGGATAACTAAAAATAAAATAAAATATTTAATATATATTGGTTATAATCTTGAATGATAAGAGTTTTCTCTATCAAATTTATGGCTGTGTTTGGAATGATTTCCAAACTATAATTCTACCCCCATATTCCAATATGATGTTTGGATAGTATTCTTAAATCACATTTCCACAACATTTAGAAAACTCTGTGTGAGGCGTGATTTTCAATTTTTTTTTTTTTTTCAAATTTGGCCTAACCAGTCGTCCAGACGATTGACCGGAATAGTGCAATTTTTTTTTATCTTTTTATTTTTTTATTTTTTATTTTGCAATTGACATATGTAATTTTTATATATTTGGAAAAAATATTTTTCAAATTTTTTAAAAAAATTTATGTGTTTTAATAGAATTTTGAGTTGTATGTTTGGTTATAAGTTATAAGTTTTTGCATCAAATATCATATGTCACATAAAAAATTCTTCACTCAATTCAAAACTCTTTCACTAAACAAATTTTTCACACTCAAATCATAATTCCAAAACTCACAAATTCAAAATACAACTCATACTCTCAAATCATAATTAGAAAGCTCTACCATACGCAACCTATGATTTTGAGTTCAAGGCTTGGCCCATTCTCTTCCTTTTTTTTTAATAAATAACTAGACACTTAACATAAACAGAGACAAAGTTTCAAAAAATCAATCTAAGTGCTCACATATATAATAGTATAAATGGTACCGTTTTGATTAGGAAAAAATACAACATTGATACAATGCCGTTAAATCTTATATTTCTTGTAGTGTCACACTTATCTATTCAATTAAAAAAAAAAAAATACAAATCATCCCAAACTATAAAAAAATTCAACTAGAAAATTACAAAATTATTTTCAAAATATGCGACTAAATAAATTTGTAAATTTTAAAACTCTTTTAAAAAACTTATTTTTTAAAATTGATTTCAAAACTAAACCAAACAGACTTGTATCATTTTTATTGACAATAATAAAGACAACCCTTGATTGCTACTTAGGGGTGTAAAATCGGCTCACCGGTCCACGATCCGCTCGAAACTTGCTCGTAGCACAGAGCGATCCGGTCCACTCAAGCCCGAGTTTGAGCCCAGCTTGTCACCCTGGGTTGTGTATTTTAGGGCTTGTCCCGGTTCGAAGCCTGACCCACCCGCTTGCTCTAAAGGCCTAGTCCGCCAGAGATTCAAAGTCATTTTCAAACTATTTTAGTAGAAAATAAAATAAAATTTTGGTGAAATTTTTTTAAAAAAATAGTTAGGCCTGCCCCAGCCCAAGCCTAGATCTAAGCCCCATGGCCTAGCCCAAGTATCTCTAGGTTTGAGTTTGAGTTTGAGGTTAGGCTTGAACTTGAGTCGAGATTTTATTCGAATGGACCAAAACAACCCTACCCATTTTTTACAAAAAGCCCGTGAAGTCCAAAGATGGCCTGACCTGAGCCCAACCTTAAGTGGGCCGAGCCATCTTTGTAACCCTACTACATTTTAGTAATTTCAAAAATGATTTCCTTGAGGTACTGTATATATATATATATATATAGGGTGATTCTACTTACACCACTCTTTTATCTCATTACACCTAATATAGTACCAAAACAAACCCTATTATAAAAAAACTCTTCAAAACCCATCTCTTTACACTCATACCTTTGGAGGGAAAAGAGAACAACGCAGAGAGAACGATGCAGGGAAGAAGAGTAGATAACACCGGCGTAGAGGCGTTCGGACGGTGTGGACGATTGAACTCACTCTTCTCATTTGCCAATGGTAAGTGAGAAAACTCTTATTTCTCTCTCTATATTGATAGACATAGATATGTGTATCTATCTATATATCTATATCATCTATGTCATCATTTTTTGCGAATAGACAAAGAATAGCACATTCCCAACATAGCTTTGGTGGTTTAGATCTTGGAATTTAATTGGGTTTGTGATTTTTGGTGCTAGTTTTGAATGTTGAAGTTCATATTTTGATTCTATGTTTTATCAGATTTTTAGTCCTCTGTTTTGCCCACTGTCTCTTTCTGTCAGCTCAACCACCTTCCCACCATTGCTGCCACAACCTCTCATTTCATCCCATCTCATATCCTACTTTTTATTCTCTCTCTAAAAACTACTAAACCTACTCTCACCACCGTAACCCTCCCTCTATAGAGATCTTCCCTAATCTATCGGAGAGGAGCTTCTTGCTGAAGACAACTGCAACGGCAAAGCTTCGAATCAGAGCTTGAAATCCTAGATCGAAGCTTTGAATATGGTTTGCACGATTGAACTCCTGCAAGCCCTAGATCTAGATCTGAAAACCCTAGGATTCTTTTTTTTTTTTCTCTCTCTCTCTCTCTTTGTAATGGAGAAAAACGAACCATGATCGAAGTAGGAGACTGGGTTGTTCGTTGATGGGGGGAGGGAGAAGGGTTTGCATAGGGGAAAGGGGTCGCCAGTGAGGTAGGGAGGTTGTGGGGGTTGCGATGGTGGCTGAGTTTCGGTGATGGTGGCTGGAGGTAGAATCAAGAGGCGAAGAGTGGTGGTGTGTGGGGGGTGTATTGATATTCTTTTGTGGTTAGTTTGGTCATTTTATGTAAAGTCATTATTGTAATAAAAAATAATCAATGGATGATTCTACTTACACCACTCTTTTACCTCCTTACACCCTCTATCTCATTACACCACTTAAAAAAAATTGAATTCTCATTACATCTAATATATTACCAAAACAAACCCTATGATAAAAAACTCTTCAAAACCCATCTCTTTACACCCATACTTTTGGAGGGAAAAGAAAACGACGCAGGGAAGAAGAGTAGACAACACTGGCGTTGAGGCGTTTGGACGGCGTGGATGATTGAACTCACTCTTCTCATTTGCCAAAGGTAAGTGAGAAAACTCTTCTTTCTCTCTCTATATTGATAGACATAGATATGTGTATCTATCTATATATCTATATCATCTATGTCATCATTTTTTGCGAATAGACAAAGAATAGCACATTCCCAACATAGCTTTGGTGGTTTAGATCTTGGAATTTAATTGGGTTTGTGATTTTTGGTGATAGTTTTGAATGTTGAAGTTCATATTTTGATTCTATGTTTTACCAGATTTTTAGTCCTCTGTTTTGCCCACTGTCTCTTTCTGTAGACACCCCATTTTTGACCGTCCTCAAGACATGGACGTCACCGTTTGAACACTCGGTGATCATCCTTGTTTGTGTTCGTCTTGAGTTCCCGGAGGCCTCGGCTACGCGCCTTGCCTCAGGATCTCTCGGCTCGATTGTTTTGTGTTTGGTTTTGCACCAAACACTTGTGTTTTGCCTTGGAAGGGCAGGGAATGGCTTGTGAGCCATCCCCACACATCGCCGGCCGTGACTTGAGGCCACCGGCTGTGTTTTGTTTCCACCAGCCAAATGTTTGGCTGGTCGGCACTATAGATGGTCGGCCGGCCATCTATTAGGCCAAATTGCATTTTTGGCTGGCCGACCACTGTTCATCTGCTTTTGTAGATATTTTTTGTGCCAGCTGTGCTAGCTGGCATACACGTGTATGGAGGGATTTCCCTCTTGGATGGATTACTTGAGAAGCTTTACAAGAGGGAAGTTCTATAAAGAGGGGCCTCTTCTCCGTCTTTTAGGTTGGACAATATTTTCAGAGGGTTCTAGTTTTAGGGTTTGAGTTGTGTATCTATCCTATATCTATATCTCCCTCTCTTTTGTGTTTTGTGTGTGTTTTGTCTTACTTTTGTGCATAAACACCCACCATCACACCTTCTTTTAACTACTGAGTACTAAGAGGCTGTTCTTGAAGTTTTTGGCTGGTTTTGAGCTTAGAGAAGCTGCTGGACCATTGTTTGTGAAGAGGGTCATCAAGGGTAAGAACTTCACCCTTTATTCCCCATTCTTGCATAGTCTTTTTGCCTATCTTGCAACTGTTTTTGAGCTTAACATATAACATAGAAAAGTCTTGTTTTTATCTTCCCTATAGTTTCTTAAGGGTGTTTTAAGCTTTGGGGTTGTTTGACCCCTCTTAAGGCTTGTTTGGCTTTTGTTTTGTGCCATTTCGGTTGAGCTCCAGGACCATTGTGTTTGGGCCTCCTCACCACTGAAATCTTGAGGGATTTCAGTGATGAGGATGGTATCTTGAGGTCCTAAGAAGGAGAGGGCCAGCCCCTCTCCTTGTTGTCCTTGAAAAGGGCCATTTTTGCCTTTTTAGTGAGCATCATGTTTAGGTTCATGTTGGCCATGCCTTGACTGATATTTATGCTTATTATGTCATGATAGAGCTCTATTTTTAGTTGGTTTAGACACACCATGCTTGCTTAGCCTACTTGTCTTGTAATGCCATCTTTAGGTCTTAACATGCTTTAGGTTTTGATCCTTGTTCTAACATGATTTTGACCAAGCTTTGTGAAGCTTTTGTGTTTGTTTTAGCAT